TAATTTGTTTAGTAATTAATAAATGAAAAATTATAATCAAGCAATAAACTCACTAAATATGTTTTTTGAAAAAAATAAAAGAAAAATTCATTTATATACATATTTACTATTTAATAAAATAGGGGCTTGTTTTCAATTTTCAAAATTTTCTATTTGCATAGTAAGAGTCTTCAAGCCAATTAACACAGGACAGCCTAATTAGGCCCAAAAGGTAAATGAAAGGCAAATGCAAGAGCAAGATTTAACAGAGTCTCTAGTTCGTACCAGAGCGTATAGTATTTATAGTTCCATCTACAGACTCGACCGGCGACCTGCGCTCTCTGTTCGGGTTGCAGCGAAAAAAGCAGTAAACTTAAATGTTTGCGTATAATTAAGCACTCATCCTTTGGTCGTAATTAAATTTTGCATGTGCACATCCAACAGCTGCCGCCGACTGAGCGAGTGAGTGTGAGTGGGAGAGAAAGAGAGTGAGAGAGAGAGACAGGTGGAGTGACGGCGGCGCGGCTGGGCTCAGAGATTTCGTATGTCTTGTCTGAGAAAATGTTGGCAGCATCAACGCGCCGGGCGCCGCAGGCGACAGGCGGGTCTGTTTGACATAGCCCCACGCCCAGGCAGCCAGGTCTGTGCTGCCGCCCTAATTGCAACACTCAACGGCGTGCCCAGTCAGAGACTGGCTGCTCTCGCACTCCTAATTAAGACATTCAGAAGCTCGAGTGTTGTCGTTGAGCTCGTTAGTTAGTACATAACTTTTGCTGTGGGCCAAGAGGCTGCTGTATGTTCGTGTGTGTGCGACTTGAGCGTTTGTCAATGTCAGACTGACAGAGCCAGAGAGAGAAAGACAGAGTGAGACAGGGAGTGCTCACCTAGCTCACAAAAAGTTTTCTTTAAATTTTCGCACTTTTCACAGATTGCCGTTTGCCAAGGAGAAAGTTTTAGCCCGACTTGGCTTAATGAATTTTTACACATGTTGCCCCCGTCCAGCCGCGCCTCCACAGCCCGCCCCTTACTCTTAATTTTTCTGGCAAACATTTTAATGCTTTACGCAATTCTAACAAATTAAACTCCAGCAATCAACACCTCAACGGCTTAGCGGGCACCGCCATGCCGAATCCCCACTTTCCTGAAGCCAAACTCAATTTCCGCAAAAATGTTTGTGTTGGCAAAAGTTTCTTTTTCCACGAAGTACCCTAGACTTATGAAATATTTACAAAAGCGGGTATAATTATGGAAATTATATGTTTTCTGAGAACTGTTTCAGAATACTCGGAACTGTTGTTTAGCAGAGACACAGAAGTATTCTTAAAATTTTAGTTCGAATGATGTATTCCATTTTAATATTTTTAAAATAATTTTAGACATACTGACGATAGATAAGATTCAAATAATAAAAAAATAAATATATATATATATAAACAGGTTAACTTGATAAACTCCAACTCTACTCTTGGATGAGGCTACCTTTGCCTAAAATTATTTTCTACTTGCTACCCTAGCAACTAGCTAAAGCTTCTGCTCTGAACATTATACGCTTATTATATTAGGCAACCCAAAGTTGTTGTTGTTGCTGTTGTTGTTGGGTGGGTTGGGACCCTGTTGTTTGTTTGTTGTTAAGCGCGAGTCAGCGGCTTATTTTAATTGCATGATGAATATTAAAATATTTGCCCAATTTATTATTCAAGCATTCGTGCGCGCAAGCATCAACGAGCCCGATACACATATCTAAATGCTTATATACACACACAAATAGACGTATATATATTATGTATATCTGTATACAATATGTTCAAGTATATACATATGTAGCTTGAATAGCTCATTTGATTTTTGGCCTCTGCCTGGGCATGCGGCTGTTTACATGTTTAAGTAGCTCGGATTTTATGTGCCTCGGCATCTAATAACATATTTAGTTAGTTGTGCATAAATTATTTGGCATATACAGCTTGAAATCTTATCTTTTTTATAGTTTGGTACATAATTATAATTATAATTTCCTGTGTAAAGTTGAAAGATATTTCACAAAGAGATTTGACAGCCAACTCAAACTGCAAAAATTATATACATTTTATATCTATTGTGAGTTAATGCTGAATCTAGATTTATTGCTTATGGCTGAAATATATCCATTTCCACGGCACGTCCGCCTGCAGCTATCGAGAGATAGAAAATTATTCTTATTGCCAAAACATCCCCCATATATGAATAATTTACAGGCCTTCCTCTTACGGTCGTAGGTCCATCTTAAAATCTTTCTATGACATAGACCCCTATAAGCAGACAGATATACACAGGGAGCTAAAGTGATAACAGCAAAAGCTTAGTAAGGTATTTTGAGATTGAAAAGCTAATCGAATTCTTACAAAGCCGTCCAGCTATTGCAATGCCAAGCAACACGAAGAGCAGGTAACTCACTGCAGCGTATTTCATTTAGAACGGTTTGCGATATTAGATGTCGGATGTTGAAAGACTAACGAGGTAAACCTATAGAGCAAGCCAAATGAGGCTCACAAATTGAATTTGCATACATAATGAACTATAAAGCGAAAAAATTCAAGTAATTGGAATATATAAGCTAACTAGAAAGACATTTAGTGGTATAATATCTAAATGT